ATCACTAAGGGCTGCATTGGTTGATTCATGCAGATAAGGACAGATGTGTTTGAACCTGCACTTATCTACTCGAGTATCAATGCAAGGACAAAATTCTGGACCGGAACGTCACTTGTGATGAAAATTTACTTCAACAACACAGGATGAAAAGGGGGATTGGTCTGTGCCTGGTGAGCCTGTCGGTAGTATTCCAAAGTGCTGTTTGACTAGCAAAAAGATCATGTTTTGTATCTGGAGGGATTGCTGTGGTATTTCTCCACAAAGAGTATATGGAAAAAGGTAAATTCCTCAACTGTACAGTGTACAACAAGATGGTAGTCTGTGTTGACACTGTCAAGGAAAAACGTTGAACAGAGTTCCAGCACAAAAAGGTAATGTTCTATCAAGCCAATGCAATACGACATGTGTCTGCATTGTACTCTGTACAGACTCGAGTGGGATCTTTTACTACACCTATCATATAGCTCCGACGTCACTCCTTCAGACTCCTATCTTTTTTCACACCTGCAGCTACATCTTGCTGGTGCTATCTTCTATTCTGCAGAGAACATCCAAAAGGAGGTTGACCTGTTTTTGGACCCACAGTCACCAAGTTTCTAGGCCATAGGTTTGGAAAAACTAATAAAATGTTGGCAGAAAATCATACATTTGGATGTTGATTACTAATGCACTAAAGGTACTGCTTTCATGTTCTTTTAACAGGCTTTATTAAGAATAGAAAACTGCTTTATTTTGGTGCATTACCACAGCAGAATGCTTTCAAAGTATAATATTTAAAACTTCAAACCTTGCCAAAAATATATATGCAAATATAATATGCAAAATAACAGATGATTCTTTAGAAATCTGGCTGTAATTATAATATGTTGAGCTCTAGAATAACATATGAAACTCTGAATATAATTAACACACAGTTTTGTTTTATTTTTTCAGAACATGTATTTGTTCATTCTAATCTTTAATACCATATTATGGGAAAATATGATGATGATTTTTAAAAGAAGAATTATCTGCAAAATGTTATTACAAGGGAAAAGAAAAGAAAAGAAAAAGAAAAAAAAAAAAAAACTTTGCCATGTACAGGAAGAAAGGAAGATTACAAATGATCATCTGCAACATGGTTTCTTCTCTTTTGAGCACTTAGTGAGATGTAAACAACTTTAAATTACAATTTTATCTCAGTAAAACTCTTATCATTATATGATTAGCTGGCAGCACAGTTTAACTGCAAATGAATTAAAATCTTGAGGGGTTCATTGACTGAAAAAAGGACTTTCAAAACACTACAAATGCAATAGAAATCACTAAACAAAATTAGTGTTTGATGTTTTATATGCATGATTACTAATTCACTGAAATGCCGAACTAAAAAATATTCCTAAAAAAGCCAGAAATAATCAAAGGAACAGAAACATAATGAGAAGAAAGCAAACATCAAATTTCAGTTCCTAGCCATGGCTACGAAATGAAACAAATTTATGAATAACATGCATATTACAAAAGTCAAAATTAAGTTCAGAAGTTTAGCAGTAAAATATAGAAAATCAAAGCAACCAAAAATCTAATTTTACAAATATTCTAACTCAAAATTCAAGATATTCAGTTTTCAGATGAATTATTTATACACACATAGTCTCTTACATAAATATTTATCTGACATCTTTGTACAAATTCCAGAAGAAGATATTTTAAGTTAGTTGCATTGCAATGAATTAGACCAATGCAGGCACAGAATAACACTAAAATAAAATAATTTGAAGCTAAAAAGGCAACATTTCTGTACTTAGAAACATGCAAGGCAAGAAAAAAAAAAAGTGAAAAGTGCAAGTCAAGATGAAAATTATTATGAAGAAAATGGATGTCATTCTGAACATGTATTGTAATGAATAAACAAACAACAAATAATACAGTAACTAACTCCTTTCTTCATTAAATTCAATATTTAAATCCTGCAGAACATAACAAAGTGTTTCCTAATCACATATGGCTGATGGCTATTCAGTTATTATGGCAAAACAAACAAAGATTATTTTCACATTATAGATAGGGTAAAACCTAAAAATACCTATGTAATAAGCTCATTTCACTACTGTGAAACAAACTACCCTCATTTCACTGCTTAACCTTCTAAAACCGGGCTGAAATTCTCATAATATAGCCTTCATACCGGCATGATCCGAAAAAGTTTTGCCCCCTCTTTGACATTTTCCTAGTGAAAAGTCGTTAGTCCCCCTCCATGGATGAAGAAAAATTTACACGTTTGTTGGACGCTTACGTCCCATTAGTAGAGGGGTTGCTAGATTTGCAATGTTTTCGATGATTATTTTGCTTTCATTTAAATGAAGTTCTAAATAAATAGTGCATAAATAAATATGCAGTACTGGATGCATATCCAGTGCACAATTTATTTAGAACAAAATGTATGCAATGTATATTTCACTCACTATTTCTGATCAATCTCGTAAATAATTTGTGAATTTTTTAACTTTGTTTTCACTCTTCATTTATATTCACGTATTTTCGTATTAGAAATTAGAAAACGAGAACAAAATTTAACAAAATATAGTAAATACGGGACTACCTTTGTAAGTCTGCAGGCTGGAATGCGATTTTTAATAACATATTTTCATTAACAAAATAATGGTAATGACTAATTTAATGAAATAATAATAATAATATTTATTAGATGATTAGAATGAGATTCAATACAATTAGATTTTGAGATTAACTTACAGCAATAATAAAGCTTTATATAACAATAACAGAGATTTAAATCTGCTTTTTTCGATAATTTTGTTATTATAATATAAAAATCAAAATCCGAGATACATTGGTTGCATTTCATCATTTAACTTTAACAAATATTACATTGGACTATCAGGCAAAGGAGGTATATCTTTAATGAGAATTTTTCTTTGTAAAATTGGATTTTGTTTATGTTAGCAGAGAAAAAAATCCATGACCTATACATGCAATCATCAAAAGAATTTTGAGAACAGTTTTAAATGTTCATGAAGAATTAATTATACGTCAATTTCTTTTCATAGGTAGAAATTTTGTCTAAAACCATCGTTATATCCAAAGGTTGAAGTCTATTTCATTTTCAACGAATATTCTATTTGCACATAATATATTTTCTAATTTATTTTAGAAAGAGTAATCTTTCACGTTTTCAAAAGAATAAGGACATACTGGGTGTTGACACAATGTAGTAAATCTGTTTTTCATATTTCTTCCAGTAATGAAAACGGTTACCCTGGAATATTTTTAAAGCAAAATTAAGAAAAACGTTTACACCAAATTTTGCATAAAGTATCTTTTTGTGTATTTTTTTATTTAAAGTGTGAAATTTTCTCTTTGAAAATATCCTGAACGGAGCAAAATTAATTCATGAGAAATAACTTTGAAATGCAATAATTCCATCCTAATATGAAATAGTGGAGAAAAGTGCAATATAGTTTATTTATTCACAAATAATCCCCTCACATGTGTAATTTATGTACTGTTGATTGAGAAATATAGGTTAGTAAATTAAACCGGTTATTTCAATACTTTTCCTTTATCAATATTTTTACGGGCCCTTCAGTAGAGCAGTAAAGCTGGTTGGACACTTGCAGCTCGCTCGGGTTTGAATCCTGACTAAAGGGTTGGATTCATGGTTTTTGTGTAACGTAAATGCAAGCCAGCTTCCCTTAGAAAGTCCTCCGTGAAGGCATCCCTCCCCTTATACAGGTAATTGTTGTGTGCTTTGATGTAATTCAGTAAGCGAACAAAATTAATCCAATCAAACCGAAGAACAGGTTGATTACATGTGGAGTTTTCCACCAGGAACGTAAATGCGAGCAATTTTCTCTTAAAAAGGTTTACACGAAAGCATCCATCCCCTTAAGCAGATAGCGTTCGCGTGCTTTTCCGTAATCCAATCCTAATTCTCATACATTTAATAGTAAGTTGACATACACCTTATTACAGACAAAATAACAACCTTTTTTAAAGATATTTTTTTATTAACTTGTCTGAATTCCCTTTATCTCTTGAGGAGTATAAGAATTTCAGCAAAAAAAAACTGGCCGAAATTTTATACAATGTAACTGATGTTTTGATTCAATTTAGAAGTAACGTGAGCTTTACTGATATTTAAATAAATTTTGGCAGATCTCATCCTAAAAGAGGGTTTAAAGATAAATTGATTTTATTTAATTTACAATCAATGAAAATCATTGAAAGCAATCACTGAATGAATGAAAATCACAAAAACTATTATGCATACAATTGTCTCTTATTTATCTCCTGATAAATCAGACAAAATTGCCTACATAATAGAAGCACTTTGAAAGAGTTAACAAATCTTAAGGTTTTTATGCACTCCACAAAAAAATGTCAAAATAAAATCTTATTATTCATAAGTATGAAAAGGAAGTAAACAATAAAAGCGGTTTTACTATTTTCTAGAAGGGTATTAAATCTAAAATATTAACCTATTCTTATTTGCTATGATTAAAAAACATTAAATATGGTAAGCTTAAAGAGCGTGCAAAATCGCTGACGTTTTATTTATAGCAAAAGTCAGTACTAAAACAATTATCATTAAAATTATGAGACAGATTGAGAGAGAGATGGTCTCTATTTGATTTTCAAGTATATTGGTGCGAGATGAAACCTGCGGTTTTTGCCAAAATGTAGCCAAACTGATAAGAAGAGGGAAATAATGCGTAGCCAGCGGCTACTCTGAGCAGCGACAATGAACCACCCAGAGATCTACAGATAGGCGATTCTCTAAAATAAGGAGGGCATGCATGGTACGACAGTTGTACCAATGCCGGCGTCAGAGGAAGTCATTCTCCTGGTACAACTGCTGTACCAACCGGCTTCAGAAAGTTAACAGCCAATTGAATGCTGATATATTAAGAATACACGATAAAGACTTTTGAAGAATTCCATATAAGGTATAATTGACAATAACTTTATTCTTAAAATAATAATAGAAGAAAGAAGTTTACTTTTTGTTCATTGGTTGGGATTTCTAACGAATTGACAATAACCAAGTCATCCTGTAAAATGAAGAAATAATAACAATATTTAGATTTTAAAACATATCAGAATCAAAAACAATGAATGGTTAATATTTATTTATCTCATATTCAATTCTGTACTAACAACATTCCTGTTACACAAATAAAATAACACCAGAAATTATCACCTGAGCAAATTTGCAAGATAAAGTAGAAGTCAAACCATAGACTCTGGTTGCACGAGGTAACATATAGAAAGTTGTTTTAGGACCTCGTTTACCATGTGCTTTTCCACCTAAAAATATTTAAAAGCAACAATTACAATTTGAAAATAAAATTCAGTCACAAATTTTTAATATATTCTTTGAGTATACATACAACTATGTTGAATATTAATTTACATTTTTTTAAATAACGAATTCACAGAAATATTATTTAGTTAAAAAAATATGGAATTATTTTTTAGAACTGCTGTTGCTATTTTAAATACCAGGAAAATCATAGAAAATAAATGCATTTAGTGGGCTGCTTACATGATCAAAAGTGTAACCAGACTTTTGAGATTAACTAGATTTTTTGGTTCTTTTTTTGCTAACTGGGTACCAGCTAAAACCGTATGCTAAAATGTCATAACTTATTTATATCGTATCATGAGTAGCCCATGGTATCAAATGAGCAGGCAGAATAAATATCAATTTAATAATTTTCTCTCCTAGACTTTTAGCTGTTCAAGCAAATGAATTCACAGTTGTCAGATATGAACACCTGCAACTTAATTACAAATAGAACTTTATTGATCCCGATATGGGATGCAATACATAAAAAGCAGCAAAATAAACACCAGTGTGACAAAAAGCAGCAAAGTAAACACCAGTGCGTCGCTACTGCACATAACTGTTCATTTAAATGGTGATGACTGCATGAGAAGAGAAAATGATTCTGGCGGTGCTGAATCACATCAGCGATTTTAAAATTTCACGTGCAATCTGAAAGTTAGCTATTAAATCTATTTTGCATTTCTGTTAATTTTTGTGTTCTGTCATTATTTTATGAAGCTGTATGTATCATTAGGGTTGCTCTCTAGTTAGATTTTGTGCTAACATTTTGCTGCTAATTAGCATTTCATTAACATAGAGGAATGTATTACAATAGAATCTCTTTTAGTTACCAGCAACTAGACCTCATCATTTCTGGTAAGAAATTTTTCTAGATAATTGAAGATATTTCTAGAAATTGCCTGTTCATGTTTAGTGATACCAGCTATAGTAATTGCAGCATTGGTTATATTTTTTAATCTATCAACCAATATTAAATAAATAATATAAAAAATCATTAAGATTATTTAAAACTAAAAACATGGTTTTATATTTCAGAAAAATAAAATTAAATGCTTTAAAATTACCATGTAGGCTATCACATGAAAATTACAAATTTCTTAGAGTGATACAATACATAACCCTGAAATTCGGCCTGCTTACAAGATTGTCATTGGAGTTTTAAAAATTTGATACGTATGCAATGAAAATTCACAATATCATGTACTGCCACAGATAAACCTTGTTGACAGACCTTATGAAAATCTGCCATCCTTCATCAGCTTTCTTCCATGTACCTCTCTTATTCTGCATATCATCTTCATTTTCAGCCTCTCCCTCCTCCAGATCATCTTTCTCCTTTACCAGGAATGCCAGATCAGTTTGTAGTCATATAAAAAGCATGTGATGAGAACAGAATTATCTACATCCACCCACGCCTGCATCTCCTTTACGCTAATACTAAGCTTCTCCAAATATGTAACTACAACCAAGATGGCAGACAGGCACTGGAACCAAGAGAATTTTCAACACTCCAACCCATCATTTACAAATAGGCTACAATTTACACTAACAATGACATAAAGTCCTACTGTTCTTCCAACTTTCCAAGCAAAAGCAAAAATCTTTCAATATGAATTGTTACTGCCATGCACATTACCTTGAAAGAGCACACACTGATGCATAATAAGGGATTGGTAGTTAATTCATCTTTTTGTTGTGGATAATTCATTGGTTGGATATGGTTTGTTACATTGGACAAAAGAAACATAACACAAATGTTTCCCACATACAAGTCTTCAAATTATTAACCCACAACATATTTTGTATCTCATTAACCTAAACTTCAGATTTAAATTCACAACTTCAAAAGTGCCATTATTTCAATATTGCTAGTTTACCGGATGACGGTTATGAAAGATTTTACTATATTTACATAAACTGCAATAAAACATCATGGTTCACAGTTTAACCTTTAAGAGTAGATATTTCTGGAAGATTAATATCAAATTACTAATTTATCCAGTTCACCATATTTTCATAGTCATCATTCTCACTATTTACTTAACAATTAGAGACCACAGTACTATCAAAATCTGAAAACCGTCGGAATTTAAATACAGACTTTTTAATTTACAAATACATACTGATAGTTAAAAAATATATGCGATGTACTGCATATCATGAACAAATACACTGAATATCATATATTACATATGATAAGAACACATTAAAATAATTGCTTAAATTTTCATTCACGTACACACTTTTTCAGAGCCACCTAATCACTTGCTTGGTTGTTGGGTTAGATATAGAAAATATAGTACTTTCATAAAAATAGTTGCATTTTTGTAAAGGGCAAGTTGTTTCTTCCACCACACAATAAACATCAGTTACTCTGCCCAACAATAAATAAACTCTTGCACTATTACTAACAATATTCTGAAACCACCAAAACAGTTGTCAGAATGTATGTTTTTCTTTCACTTGCAACTTCTCATATTGCACATCCAAATGCTTTTATCAATACATAGTTTTATTTAATTGCCATTTTTGCATAGTTGAACAAGAGGTAAAAATATTTCTTCCTTGAAAGAAAGATATAGTATCATGCACACTTCACAGTAAATCAAACATTTAAAAAATGTTTTTGAAAAATGAAACTCAGTTAATATCTGGCATACTTGGAGCTCTTTTCACAATGAAGGAATTGAGTAATTATGAATTGTTAACATTTATATGGAAAAAAAAAAAAAAAAAATTACACATAGTTTACTCAGAATGCTTCTTATTGGGAGCAAAATATAAATGATCATCCTTGTCGGCCATTTGAAGATGGTGCGAGTTGGCAATTTATCAATAATCTTAATAATGTTTACAAAATGGAGTCATAATAACAAAGAAGTAATCTCTCTTACCATACCCTAATGAATATCAAATAAACGTGAAACTTTTTAATGGTCATTATATATAAGTGGTATAGCAACCCATAGAAAACTTATTCTCTTTTGTATACTAATAAAATTATTTATTACATATGAAGCAAATAACTGATAAATTCATCAAACTAAAAGCTCTTACTAAATTCGACATAAAAATGCTACATCAAGAGAGCATAATTTATTGTTTCAGAGAGTATGAGATGACTGTAATAAAATATAAATATTTTATGTGAATTTAATATAGGGGGAAATATGAATTTTCTAATAAAATATTACATTCTAATAACAGAATATGTTTCAAATTAAACATTAAAGAAAGATATATGATGAGGATACTAACATATATATATATCCAGTTCCTATTGTTACAAATACATTTTATTAAAGTATAAATAACTTTCTAGTGTTTAAGTATTTTAAAAAATGTAAAAATACTTAACTCTGAGAAAAATAGGTGATCGAATGCTTCCGTGTCTAGCTCTGCCAGTTCCTTTCTGAGGCCAAGGCTTACGACCTCCTCCTGGAACTTCTGCCCTGGATAACTCGGTGACATAATCCTAAAAAGTAATTTAAAATTTTAATCTAACAAAATACTATTACAAAAGGGAAACTTCAAAAAATTATTCTCATGGCTACACTTCTGATATATTAAATATCTAAATAGGTTATTTTAGAAGTCAAACAATAAAAACCAGCATTATATTTACAAATTTTTCAGGACTAGTTTTGATGCCAAAGTGCAAAACGATTTAAAAAATAAATTCGGTGTGTAATTTTAATAAACAGGTATAAATCATAAGCATAAACAATTCTCTCTCTCTCTCTCTCTCTATATATATATATATAAGAACCAGGATAATGCAAGAAGATAAGGCTAAGTAATAATAAACTACCATAACTTTCGGTAGATAAGCCATCCTGGCATAATCGCAGCACACCAGATAATTGACTAAAAAAATTATCAATAAAAAGTTTATCAGGTAAGCCACAGTGCCATATATGCCACAATAAAGCATTCTAAAAATGGCACTTAATATTCATTTATTCAGTAATTCCTTTCCATATTGGTGTAGTCATGATTGAGAACATCCTGTAACATATTCAATAACTGTAGATAATTAAACAGAATTTTATAATCAAAATAAACTACATTCATTTATACAAAATCCATCTCATCAACGTAAGAATTAAATAAACTTAACAAATGACGATCAAGGTCACATTAAAATTCCGCTTTATAAATCACTCCTTTCAACATCGCAACCTTCATTTTCATATTTTTCCGATCATTTCTATTTTAATGAAAGCTAATGATCATATCAGCTCAGACTGACTGCCATGCTTTATCGATCCGCAAGATAACTTCCTCAGACAAAACTTTTCTCATCCATCTGGAATTTGTAAAGGAACTGAGTCTGCTGCTCAACTATTCTTTCCACTGCTTTCGTAGTTCATACCAGAAAATTCTATTGATGGTGAGATCCAGTGGCTGTAAATTTTCTTCTATCATTGTGATATCAATGCTAAGTTTTTTTGCTTTGTATTTTACAATATCCACTAAATGGGATCGTATTGAATCCAGTCCAAGAGTTGTGACGAGTTCCCAAGGTTGGAAAAAAGCACCTTTCCTTTTTCAATTAATTTCTCTCAGCCAATAACACATTATTTCTTCATACAGCCATCCTTTTTCATTGGCACAACGTACAGTGACCTGTTTAAAGGAGTTTTCTTTCAGAAATATTTTACTTTTGAAAATTATCAAAGGGATTTAACTTCTCTCGATTAGCAATACAACCCAAAACAAAAGTAAAAGAAGTCTTTTCATTTGCAGTTGTTAATATAGAAATAGTTTTCCATCTGTTGAAGGGCTGTGGAGTCGGAGTTAAGTAGATATTTAGTCGCTAAAAAAACACATCGACACCAACTCCAGTTTTTGTTGAACAGTTTGAATTTGAAATGAAATTAAAGTGAATTGAAAAAAAATATTAATGACAAACTAAGTTAATATTTTTATTTAAGAACTATATACATTAATAAATAGTTATTTTCCATTTTATTGACATATTAGTAAATAAACATAAGGGAGCAGAATGGACATGATATTTGCCATTATTGATTAAACTGATTCATTTAGTTACTAATCTCATTGGAGAATTTAGGTACGCAGCAAGAACTCTCAAAATTGATGCTATTCTTAGAAAGCGAGCAGGAAAAGGAGCAACGAAATGGACATATTTGATGATATAGTGGTTGTTAGGATTAAAACTTTTTCAGAAGATGTAAATAACCCTACTATTTCACTAACAGAAGACTGTGGAATAATCTTGCAGAAATGGAAACTCTTCTTTCAATACCATATATAGCCACCAAAAAACTACAATCTGAAGAATTAACAACAGGCAAGACTGGAAGAATGCGATGTTTGTTCTTTCTGAAATGAAGGGTTTCTTGCAGAAGGAATCATTTCTTCAATGAAGAAAAGAGAAACTAGTTTGCTAGACAATAAGATCGTGCTGAGTTCAATATATGTAGATCCAGAACGCCAAATTTTGTTGGATGACAAACAAATTAAAAAAGCAAAGAAAGCCATCTATGAAACTTTCATTAAGAATGAAATTATTCTCAGTGGTAGTGTATTTAATTATGGCAAAGCACACTAGGGCTATCTGCCTATCTGCCTAAGGGGAGGGATGCCTTTGTGGAGGACTTTCTAAGGGAACTGGCTCGTATACATGTTACACATGGGGAAAACCATGAAAACACCCATGCAGCCAGCCCGTTCGCGGGATTCACACCTAGGACCGAACTACCAGCGTTCAGCGACTTTACTGCTCGGCCGTTGGTGGGCCAAATTATTCTCAGAATAACTGGAGTATTCAAATCAGAACAGTCAAACTGTAGATATTGTAACTGAGTCTCTATCATCCTCTTCCACTGATGAATTAGATTTTGAGAAATATTTGGATAATATTGAAAAGGCTAAGGCAAAGCGAATTAAAATAAATAACCACGAGTCTTTAGATATAAAAATGAAAAAATACAAACAAGATTTATACATGGTCTTTGAAGAAATAGATAAATATGAATGCTCTTGCAAGACACCTCTTTTAGAACTTATAAAAATCTATCCTGAAAAGTTAAAGGAAGTAGCCCTAACGGTAAAAGCTCTTTTCCCTACTCAAGTCAGTGTGGAAATTCTCAATTCTGAAGTTTATCAAATCGGATCTATTGTGCTCTAACAAAGAAGATCTTGCTGAAGTTTTACTGTTTCTTAGAAATTACTAATGCCAGTCTTTTCATTTCATAATAAATGCTAATTAATATAAAAAATTTGCTATGCATCAATTTTTTTTCTGCAGCATCTATTACTTCTTTTACATTAAAAAAATAAGCTGTACCCATGTGTATATGTTTACATATATATGAAGGAGCCGAAGTCATTAAAATTCCAGGAGTCGGTCATTTTCCCTACCATCTCCACAGCCCTGGTTGAATGAACAATTCCACTAAGAGGACAGTCAAAAGTAAAAGGCACATCATCCATATTAATTATCTGCCCTCTATTCAAATTTTGCTCTTCTTAGATGTATGTTTTGGGAGAAGCTTCTGTCCAGCTCCCCCCTTCTCTCTTTCCATGACTGATAATGTCTTTCATTTCATAAGCCTTTTCATGGACCTGAAACAACGAAAACCTCCAACAAAATTTTTAATGTTCAGTTTGTTGACGAATTATTTTTGCTTGAAGGCAAATTGTAACTGTTGACTAAATTGTCTTTCAATATAGGGGCAAATTGTAACTGTTGACTAAATTGTCTTCCAATATAGGGCAGGCTATGATATCAGTCTGATAAGATCTTTTGTTCTTAGGCATTTTCTCTAATTCTTATTCGGACTTCCACCGCCGAATGCATTTTCCGACTACTTGAAATTCTCTAGACACACAGCTCAATTTCTAATCTCAGTGGTTTTCTTCATTGCCAAAAGCTAAAAAGAAGTTGTATAACTTTTCTTCAAGTAGTTCAAGTATAACTTTAAAAATTCAACATGCACAAGCGATAAAGTAAGCACTGTAACAAGTAAACAATAAGCAAGACACAAAGCAGCGAGACATGTGTAAGAATGAAGATGGAACTTGGCAAAATAACAGTAACTGCAGCATTAAAAACAAGATGATCATCAGAAAATGCGGATAAAACCATGGGATTCAGTAGAATACATACATTACAATGTCTTTACACCGAACACACCCTACCATAGTGAATTTGAAAGTCTGAACACAAGTTTGAACTTGTTGCACAGCCTTAGCACAACCTGACAGTGTGTATAAAGCTAAAATGTTGTAGCAAATTCGACATTAAGTGTACGGTTTGTGAATAACTTATGATGTAAACTAGCAAAGTTCTAAATACTGAGAAAAATAAAATTCCTTCAGGTACGCCACCCTGGAAGATATGCAGACCTAAATTTTCAACTTTCAACACATATAAGCTGTGGTTTATCTACCTGAAATTATAGTAACTGGCTTGAGATACAATCAAACAATATTTCTTTCAACACTTAAATAACTCTCTTAACTACTCGATCTCAATCTAACTGCAAAATAATATTGATATATTGGAAAGATGAATTTGAGATTATATGCCTTTACTAGTATCTGTAGATGTTCTCTAATAATGATAAAAATATCTTTCCCTAATTTGTAATAGAGCTAATTCTGTTTTTTTTTTTTTTTTTTTTTTTTTTTTTTACACATATGTTTGGGAAATTGGATGGCAACACCACCTCCTTATTTTGAACATTTCACTAAATTATTATCAAGATACCTAGCTGCTATAAATTCAACAAAAGGAGGACCAAAGCTTAAGTACATTCATACCTTTGCTTTTGCAGTGATATTCAGATAGTGCAGATCATTTTTTGAAAGGTTGCTATCGCTTAAAATTCACTTAGATTCTTTTTATTGAAACTAATGCTAAATAATGGCTACTTGTGCTAATTATTAAAAGCATATCATTAAACCTAATCATATCTCCTTATATATACTTTAAAAAATACTTAATGATATAAGATTAACACTTCATAATTCTTACTGTACTAATCACATCTTATAATAAAATTTCAAATTCCTATCTTACACATGCATTTTAGCACATAAAAGGTAAATAAAAGTTTTCTAGAATCACACAGAAAGATTTCAATATAAAATTTGTATACTCTACTCCCGAATATCAGTTTGATCAGATTTGTGACTGAGTCATGTTAAAGAAGTAGACCATGTCACCACTCAACATTTTACCTGGACTGCCTCTTTGATTTAATGGAAGCAATGGCTTTGCATTGATCACATTGCTGTTTTGAGACACTTCTTTTACTTCCACTTATTTATTTATGTATAAGTAAGTGATAGTGCTGATGTGATTAAAGGCTACAAATAATGGTATCATAAAAGCACGTATTACAGTCCCAGTTCCTTGGTGGGTTGAATTGCATCCTCATGAATAAGCTTATTTAATCTATCCTTATTAAATTTAATAAGAAAATACACAACATTTTTAACAGAAAACTCCATGCTCCACTTAAAATATAAAAACTAATTCATTGTAATTTTTTTCAGCAGTGATACTTTTTTCAAACCGAGCTCAATTATTTTGCATAGATTTTGCTACTTTAGAACTCTGACTAAAAGCAAATGAAAAAACGGAATAATAAGTGTTCATTTTTATCAACTTAGCACTTTATTGGCATATGCTTGACTAAGAGGAATTGTAAATCATATTCCAAGAACAATGAACATACATTACACAGAAAAATAAAGCTACAGAAAATCATATAATAGTAATATATATTGTTATGAATTTTGTGCATAAATAATTTTAGTGAAATTATATGTGAAATTGTAGTTTTTTTTTTTTTTTTTTTTTTTTTTTTGTACAATGTAACATGAAATACTTGAAAGAGATAAAGCTCTGCAGGAAAAATAAGATTACAAGGGCAAGTTTATTTAACACTGAGTAAATGGCTATCTCACTAAACTGATAAGATATCACCAAGTTGGCATTTTTGGTGACTAAATTTAGTTGCCAAACTTGGCGACCATTTGGGTTTGCTCTATGTATAACTATAATTGGTATTGCAATTGAATAACTATAATTGATATTATAATTGAATAACTGTAATTGATCCCCATATGTAACTATAACTGTATCTGGCCTTCATATGCCTTCCAGTAATTTTGAGAAATGGTAGGAACTAAGGATTTCTTAGAAATCATGGAAAACTATATAAAACTGGACACCACATCAGTTCTAAGTTCAGAGTCAATAATGAAGTATTCAGATATCTACATATGAGCTTCCTCTTTAGATGTACTTTGCATTGCACAGTGTTTAACATTCTTAGTAGAAGTGTAATTACTGATTGTGCTCTGTGATACTGAAAACAGCTAGAACTGTAAAGTGTTCCCTTTGGTAAAATAAAATTTTATCAAGCTAGCATTGGATATGTCTGCATTCCATTTATTACAAGCTCGTATGCATATAACAATATGTATATTTACATGTTACTTTAAATTACACAGGAAAAAATTAAATGGATTTATTTGATGTACATTATTGCATCTAATTGAGATTTATACAATTTTTTATACTAATTATGCAAACATTAATATGCTTTATAAAAATACTTACAACAAAACGATACTTTTGTTGCCAGCGATAGTTATGGAAAATTATATCTAACCTAAAATTGAATAGCAAAGAAAAAATAAACATCGTAGCAAAGCAATGCATTACACACTTCAGAATATAAAAATTATATATCTTAAAAATTTTTCTAGTATAAAATTTTTTGGTACTATTCTGTTTTGAGGACCATAAAAAATCGCCAAACTATTGTTGATGCAAGTGCTGCCAAAAATAATTGTGGCAACCCTAATGCAAGAAAGGAAGTATAATAGTAAATAACTATCTAAAGATTATTGGTTTACTTTATATGAAAGGTTAATTTAATAGAATGCTTTTTTATTATTATTATTTATATAAAAAAATGTTAAACATAACTGAATGGAAGCATAAGAGTAAATAACTATTTCAGATCATTATTATAATTTATATAAAAAAAGGCTAAACATAATGGATTCCTGCATCGCTATTTCACTACCGAGTTATCACTAAAGTATCATTTCATCTCGTTGGTTGTTCAAACATAATTTTCTATAATGAATGATGCCTTTTCTTCGAAAAAATTCGATTGCAGACTTTTCGTCATGGGCAATTCCCAAATTATTAAATCCATAGGATATCAAAAAAGGATTTAAAAATTAAACTAGTATTTCAATTGCATCTTATATAGAACTATCTAAACTTACACTATGTGAAATCAGCATGTACGCTAGATTTGGGGCGCTGTTAAATGGGCACTTTTGTGCATACATTTTCGCTGCAATTTTTTACAGTCCTCAAAACAGAATAGTACCAATTTTTCTTTTTTCTCCCTCTCCTAAAAAAAATGCCAAACTGCATTACATATTATTAGACATTACCAATGAGATATTGTCTACAGTAAAATTTATATGCAAAATTACAAAATCAAGAATAATCTTAAATATGCCATAATAAATCATTTTAAAAACAAATAAAGCTACCTCTTCATCCAGGAAAAAACATGTATAAGAAAGAAAATTATGTAAAAAACTGTATTAAATATATGAATTAAAATTCATGTTTCATCATATATATATAGATTCATACTGGTATTAATTATGTTACATGATGTGTAATGATTGGTAACCAATCATACATTAATGATAACTCTTGTTTAGTTCTAATCCCACATTAGATTTTTAGGAACAATATGCAAATACCTTTAACATGTTAACACTCCAGTATTTTTCTTACAGGTTGCTTTTTATATTCATATAAAACAGACAGGCGAGTAGATAAAAGTATCTCTTTTAAAATATTGTTTTATTTAATATGCATAAAAAAGCTAAATATTTTTCATGAATATTCAATGGTTTCTCTTGATGCATGTACTGATAAACAAAGAATATTTAATGTTTTTTTAATGCATTTAACCTTTTAGAAACTAAAATTAATATCATGTAAAATATTGAAAAATTTGCTTTAGAATGTATGTTTTTTGCATTATTAAACTATCTCTGTTCTAAATCTGCATTCAACTCAACTACCTTCAATGACAATCTTTAAAATATATGTAAGAGACAATACAGGGAAAATGAAAAATAGAAAAAAGAAAAAAAAAAAAAAAAAAGAACAGTTCTAAAAAGTGTGCAGATTGTTATTTAAAAAATATATATACATATGCAAAAGAAAAAACTAGAAGAAAAGAGACTTAATGAAGATTATATGGCTGGTTTATGGTTAAACTAATGTTTCCAAATGCATTATACTAGACTTATACTATAATTAAACTTAATGTATTATTCTTACAATTTATTTTATCAGTTAGTAATTAATACAATTGTAATTAGTAATTAACTGTTAATTTTTACAATGCCAACAATATATTCGAGCACTGCACAGAAGCAGTCTGCAGAACCTGAAGTGACAGTTCAGTACTTATAAATTCAATCCTTTCTGATTATTCGAACTCCCACGAAATTAGCCAATTCATTGACAACTTTGTGAAATGGTGTAAAATGCTCGCTAGCTATCTTTACAATTCATGGATATCCTTCTGTTTATAACTAATATTAAAAAGAAGAATTTTTAATGAGAAAAATGGTAAAAGAAAAATAGGTATTTTTCCGTTTCGCCAGCGCAAATCTCGCCAAGCATTCTTTATTGGCGAAAACACACAGTATACACATAAAAAAATGTTAACAAATGTTAGTTCTAAGAATTTATTATTTTGAAGGCATAATAATGTTTTAATAGTGTTTAAAATTTTGTAAAAGACAATAAATTTGTAAAAAGACATTTAAGAATTTACTATGCTTTCATGGTTCAACATCCTGATTCACTGGTTTCTATCCCTAGACCCCAAGTGATCTCATCTCACGTTAACTACGCTACAAAAATATAATTCTCTATGTTAATTTCAAGTTAAATCTTAGTTCGGAATACAAGTTTAAATGCAAGAATTATTTCAATTCGTACAAATAGCTTACTCAGAAATTATGCAAAACCACAGTGCTTTACTTTGCTAGTGAATTCTCATTAGAATTGATGAACTTAACCCTCGACTTTGCCTTTTCTATATTTTCGCCTTCGGGTGAGTGGTTTGATTGCATCCTAATTGACTTAATTACCGCAAATGGTATTAGGGAATAAAATTCAACTATCCGGGTAAAAATTCCATGTATGTATGCCAGTATTGAAAGAAACAATCTGATAAGAAATGGCTGCTACTTGTTTTGAAAATGAGGCGTAAAAAGGTTACCAGCGAGGATATTGCGTTTGGCATCAGTTGTACCATTATTGGAGACTTTAGCACCTGCGCTGGCAAAACGGAAAAGTACCGAAAAATATCTTTATGACCAACATTTATATTTTTACAGCTATGTGCAGTGGCGGCTCGTGGCTAAAGTTAATGGGGGTGCTGTTACAAAATAATTTAACCTTTGTTTTAAAATTGTCTGAAAGGAAACAAACATGTATAAAAAAGAAAATTTATTTTTAAACTTCGTGAAATCTTACAAGAAAAAAATTTAAAATTTCTTAACGACTTAACCAATATTGTTACAGTTCAATCTTTGTCTAATCACTTAAAAATGAAATCCATTCTTCTTGTTTTAATTTGAATGAAAAGATCAATAATTTTCTCCTTGATCTCTGGATGACAACTAAGGAAATTTTTCTTCATTGAAAGCAATGCAAGTGCATTTAGTCTTTCCAAATTCCTAGTGCTTCTAAGAAAAGTTTCATTCTTTTCAATGTTGAAAAGCAGCGTTCTGCCTCTGATGTAGTCATGGGAACTCTCAAGAGAATTTTCATCAGTTTCGTAATTTCACTAAGAACATCATCTAGATTATTTTCGAAGATAAAGTTCAATAGCTCAATTAATTTGCAGTATTCATGGATATCAGACCTACAATAGAATACTTTTAGTTCAGTTTCAAGTTTTTCTTTGTCAATCATTGGATAAGTTTCAGTGGTCAGTACTATTTCTTCTGTAGAATGTTCATTCCTAAAACTAGTGAAGCATTTCTTGTTTAACAATTTAGCAGCTGCTAAGTGTTTATTGGAAGAATATCTGTGCATTATATCAATACATAGTATAAAGTCACATATTTTCTTAGCTTCTGGAATCAGTGTCTTTGAAAAATTCTCGCAGTACTTTGAGTTTCTTAATTCTAAAATAGCAGTTTTGAAATTTGTTATATATTTGTTAACTTTAAACATGAGGTTAACTTTAAACACGAGTTATATTATTTCAACATGAGGCATCTGATAAAAAAGCTCTAACCAAAACTTGAAATTATCATCATTTAGATATTTTTAAATTCCTGTTGCAATAGGAGCAGTTGTTTCATTTCTTGTTGTTGTTCTGTATTTGATATTGATTGAATTTCAATAAGGCAATTTTTTAAAGGTTGCAAATTTTCATGAACTCTGTTTATGGTCCGTATGATGAAGTTCCACCTTGTGGAGGAATACCACAAGCGCGGTATTCCTCTAGAAGTAAAGAGAGTAAAAAGAAATCGCGTTCCCATCAACATGCCAGAATTTCGGCACTGCAAAAGCGACAGTGCTCTTCTCTCTGCCCGGCTTGCATGCCGCTTTCTGTCTGCACATGCGCAGAACAGCCAAACACTACGTCGCTGGAACTGTGAAGCACGCAGTTCCAAACAGACTTTTGTACCTTTTTCACAAAGTGGTGGATGGCTACTGACATTAAGCTTAAGGATTATGTATTGTAAAAGTATAAAGAAAGAATTAAAGACTAAAGGGCACACTGTATTAAATATTAAAAATAATAATAAGTGGAAATAGGGGGTGCTGCAGTTCCACAGTGCTTATTATGAGTCGCCACTGGCTATGTGGGTATTGTTCATTACAATGATGGTTAAATGTAAAATGTGCAAAGTTAAATGAACTCAAACATGCATGTGGCAAATGTATATGTGGATTGGCTATTGTCACAAGCAGGGCTGTGGAGTCAGTAGGGAAAATAACTGATTCTGACTCCTGGAAATTTAATGACTCTGACTCCCTCATATATATATATACATATAAACATATACACATGGGTTACAGCTTATTTTTTTAATATAAAATAAGTAATAGATGCTACAGAAAAAAAAATTGATGGCATAGCAAATTATTTATATTAATTAGCATTTATTATGAAATAGAAAAACTGGCATTAGTTATTTCTAAGAAACAGTATAGCTTCAGCAAGATCTTCTTTGTTGGAGGCCCATAGATCCGATTTGATAAACTTCAGAGCTGAGAAGTCTTTCCACACTAACTTTAGTAGGAGGAAGAGCTGTTACTGTTAGGGCTACTTCTTTTAACTTTTCAGGATAGATTTTTATAAGTTCTAAAAGAGGTATCTTGGAAGTGCAATCATATTTCTCTATTTCTCAAAGCCATGTAGAAATCTTGTTTGTATTTTTTCATTTTCATATCTAAAGGCTCTTGGCTCTTTATTTTCATTCACTTTGCCTTAGCCTTTTCACTATTATCCAAAAATATTTCTTAAAATCTAATTCATCACTAAAAGAAGATGATAGAAACTCAATTGCAATGTCTGCAATTTGGCTGTCCTGATTTGAATTCTCCAATTGTTCTAAGAATAATTTCATTCTTAATGAAAGTTCATAAATGACTTTCTTTGCCTTTTTAATTTGTTCGTTATCCAAGAAAATTCGGTGTTTCAGATCTACATATATTGAACCCAGCAAGATCTCATTGTCTAGCAAACTAGTTTCTCTTTTCTTTATTGAAGAAATGATTCCTTCTGCAATAAACCTTCCATTTCAGAAAGAACAAACATCCCATTCTTCCATTCTCGCCTCCTGTCAATTCTTCAGGCTGCAGCTTTTTGTGGCTATATACAGTGTAGAAAGAAGACTTTCCAATTCTGCAAGATCATTTCACAGTCTTTCTGTTAGGGAAACATTAGGATTATCTACTAAAAAAGGTTATAATTTTAAAAACTCTTTATCATCAAATATGTACTTCCTTATCACGTTGTTTGATCAATAATTGCTCCTTTTCCTGCTTGCTTCCTATGAATGGCATCAATTTTAGGAGTTCTTGCTGCTTACCTAAATTTTGAGATTTGCAACTAAATGAATCAGTCTAATTGCCAATGGCAAATATCACATCCATCCTTATATTTATTTGTGAATATGTCAGTAAAATAGAAAATAACTATTTATTAATGTATATAGTCCATAAATAAAAATAATAACTCAGCTTGTCATTAATTTTTTTCAATTCATTTTAATTTCATTTCAAATTCAAACTGTCCCACAAAAACTGGAGTCGGAGTCGACCTGTTTTTAGCGACTCCAGCTCCGACTGCTTTTACCCCAAAATCTCCCCGACTCCGACTCCACAGCCCTGGTCACAAGTATATTGAAAAATAAGATAAAAACAGGGCAGGTCTACCAAGTATTAAAAGTGAGAGGATGCCTAAAATCAGAAAGCAGCAAAAATGCTAAATTTATTATGCATCATACAACACTTCTGTAAATATTAGGTCCTTATTTAGCAAAAAAATATAATTTCAACAATTAAAAATAACTAGTGTTTTTGGCAATGAAATGCAAATAATTTGGCAGTTAAGAGGTTACAAAATAAAAATTCAAATAAATTTCTCACTATTAAAACAAAACTAAAAGACAAAACATAGAAAAATGTGCACCAGATTTGAATTCAGATCTGAGAAAAACACAAAATTCTTAGTGCCTAAAATATTTCATACAAATGCATGAAAAGGAATTTTAAAGCCTACCTAGGCATCACTCCAAAAACTGATGGGTGTAAATCTATGATTCCCAACAATTCTTCTTCCACAGTATCTAAGTTACATACCCAAGCTTCTCGAGGCTTCACATATTTTGATGGATATGGAAGAGGGCGTGACGTTATTATTGGTAACTGAGGTTTTGTAACTGGATAATTGTCTGTATGTTCTGAAATCACAACATAGATTTAAAATTAAAAATAGAAATTTGTTCATTTATTTTACTTCTGTAATAAAAATAACTAATACAATAAAAAAAATATTTCCTTTACCTGTTACTGGTTTCTCAATATCCACAGCAAAGAAACGCATTGGAAGAAATAATGAATTCTAAATGTTTAAATTGAACAAGCAATTAGTAAAGATTTTATAAACAAAATATTTTAATTATATTTACAGTGAATAATTAAAATTTTGAAATTATTAGTATATTTAAAAATGCCTATTTAAGAAATAATGGGAAGAAACATCATAGAAATTTCAGACCAAGATATCCAATAATTTGAAATGTTATTAAAATGAGCCTAATGAATTGAGGTCTTCAAAATAGTTTCATTTTCGTGTGAAACAAGAGTTGTGCCCACTGAAAAGCTATATAAAGCTACTTGTTTTATAATATGAATTCAAAATATATTAAAATGAGGAAATTTTTTTTTCATAATCAATTAATATATTTTCTTTTAAAATACAATATACACAGAACATTTCATACACAAAATTCTTTTATAATACAATAAACACAGAACACGTAATTGTAATTCGTTAAAATTATCGGAAATAGAATCTGCATACTGGTGTTGCCAAATAACTTTAAAAAAAAATAAGAGTAAAAAATATCCTCCAATGTTCAACCATACGTATTTCCTTTGTACAAACAGGTCACTTAATGGCTACTAAGTAAACCTTCATTTACACACCAGTCAATTAATGCTTTCCCCCCTTTCATTCCAAATCATACAGAAACTTCATATTAATCTTACCACATTCAGCCATTTGGCTATGGAAACCACAAAATAACCAATGCACTTCCTAACCAACATCCAACACACAAACAAGCCCTTACAAATCTTTTCCAATCATTCAAATTCACTGCCATTGTGCAACCCATTACGTCATAATAGGGTTTCCATAACATTCAACCACTCAGGTTACCATAAATGAAATAACAACTAGGCAATAAATAAAACAGCTTAGCAATAATCCAAGGGGCATCCTTAAATATAGTCTAACCAAGATGATTCCTCTAGAAGTCCACCTGGATGCCTGTATTGACACCTTCCATAACCACAGCTTCATACCCTCTCCATCCATCAATCCATCCTTTGGGATGAACACGAATGTAAATTCCATGTGAAATTGCACATTTAGGCAGCATTTTTAATTTAAAGATTAATAAAAGAATTTGAATCTATCAGCACAACAGGCAACAAGAGCAATATAGTGCATCTTCTTGTTATCAGAAGTCTTTATCATTACTATCTCAGCACCTTTAACATCCATTGTTCTATTTGATGGCTATCAAATAGCAAGAGTACCTCATACGTTTTTCCTATTTGTCCTATCTCAAAACACATCTTTTTTCTCAAGTTATGACATATTTGTGTAATTCTACAATCGTTCTTCCATATTCAAGTGGCAGTTTTTGTGCTATTATAGTGCTGCACATGCACACATCATATCTCTTCATGAATCTCTCGCACCAAAGACATATCTATAGCTAATTTTCTTCCTGCAAATTATTTTCGGTGAAGCAGTAATCCTGTTCTTCCTCTGATTCTTTATCCTGTTCTTAACATGTTCCTCAAGCTTTGGCCATTTTATGAGCATATGAACGTACATCTTTTACTCCTATCTGCAATCACTAAATCCATCTTCGGCTTCCTCCATTCTTGTATCATCTTCTCAGTCAGAGGTGGGCCAAAATGCATTTCAGCTGCTTTATTTGTGTGCTCTGATGTGTAATTCATGACTTGAAGTTTAAATGCAATCAAGTTTAAATGTTCTGTGACAACCTTTTCTCTTTAGATCTCATGACGGTAATTTTAACTTTTTATGAAATACTTAGTTTCTCTGCATATAAGCAGATACGAATCCTAAAGAGAAAGGAACATACTATGTATTGAACAACACCTCTTATACTACTTAAGTCTGACTGCTTGTAGACTCTGAGTTTATTGCAACAGATATACTGATTGCAATAAACTAAGGTGCTTTCATTTTCAGCTAGTAAAACTAGGTGAATCAGAAGAGTCCTTTTATTCTGAAGTGCCAAACACAATGTAAACAAACAAACGTGTGTTTCGTAGACATGGCAGCTCCCATAAATTGCTGCTTGCATTTTAAAAGTTAACAATAAAGAAAAAATATTTCTCTTTTCAAATGGGCTACAGTGAGTGACAGCACAGAAAGGTAGTAAAAGTTAAGATGGTTTTGAAAGCGAAATTGCTTTCGTATCATTCATGCAACTGGGTTGCTATAGCTTATAATGTGTCTTCTTATTGGTGCAGCATGATTTCAAGCGAGAAGTAGTGCTATTTATTTTTATTAATTTACATTTAACGAGCATATTATTAAACAACTTTTGATAATTCTATCCATTTTATAAAAAAAGATGCATTTGAAAGCAGTTCTACATTGGGAAGCACTTCTGCAAAGAACCCGGTAAATGTAAACATTGCCAACTTTGGCGATAATAGTTCAAACCTGGTAACCTAGCAGATTCATCCCATTCACTTGTTCGAAGGTTGCAACCATTCCTCTTGTGTTCATTTTCTTGAATTATCACTATGGTTGTTCGCATTTAGAGATTTATATTAATCTTCTCTTATTTACTATTTTTTCTGATTTTCCACATTATTTTTTCTGAATTTTTTAACAACGAATACATAGAAATATTTTCATATAATTAAAAAGAAGTTTTCGTCGATAGCTGTCGGTTCTCAGCTCGTCAGTTCCGGATCAAAGGAAGAAAATATGGTGGGAGAGGTTAATGCTAATTTGTAACACGGCTGTTCACGTTGTGTTCTTAATTATTAACAGCTGTAAGCACGCAGAACCATGAGGTTTCCAACCCCTAAAATAATTTGCTTTCATAGGCTGCAAAAATGTGCATGAACATTTTAAATAAATAAGAGTTGAACTTTACATTATGGTAACTTGGCGATTTTTGGGCGACCAACTCTCCTACAGCAACCCTCTATTTTTTTTTTTTCCCGCCGCCATTTTGTCTTCACGAAGTAAAGACATGTTTCTTTTCTTTTTATCTACTGAACACTTCTTCCAACAATCTACTAGCCGAATTACACTTATGCTAGAAATTTTATCTAACAAAACTGCTTAATCATGACAAATATTCACTGCAAAATTGGGAAAAAAGTGCACAATACCATACTCCTTACGCGTTTTTCAAAATAACACATACACATAAACCATGTACACGTCGACTTATTTTTACTTAAAAAACATCCCAGAATTACACTAAAAATGGCATTGCGCACACTCTTCACTATATCCATGTACACTGCTTTTTTCTCATAAATTAGAAAAATTTCACGAAAATACATGACAATTTTCTCAATCTTTAAACCCGGTAAAACGAACATATATGAAATTACCTGATCGCGAAAAAGTATATATCCTTTCCAAATATGAACATTTCCACATATAAAATAAATAAAATATCCAAAAACTTTTACCTCTAAATCATCTATTATATTATAAACGTCACCAACAAATTCATACCGCAAGCATTACAAATACTTAGTGTCAAATATTTAAATTATTTCCATGCATGTTTACTTCAACTAAAACGTATAACAAATTCCTACAAACATAAAATTCACAAAATAACTATCATTTAATTAAAAATCACTAAACCATGTACACGTCGACTTATTTTTACTTAAAAAAAAATCCCAGAATTGCACAAAAATGGCATTGCGCACACTCTTCACCATATCCATGTACACTCCTTTTTCCTCATAAATTAGAAAAATTTCACGAAAATGCATGACAATTTTCTGAATCTTTAAACCCGTTAAAAAGAACATACAGTCAAAAGTCGTTAATTCTAGCACCCATAATTCGGAATGATCTATAATCCGGACCTCAAAGCTAAAAACGTTCTGCGCATGCGCCGCGTTGACACATGCGCATAGGCGTTTACGCGTGCGCGTAAGACCTCTTACGACTGCGCATTTGCGTGTGCGCAAGTGCAGAATACGTTTTCGCGTGCGCGTTATATGTATAACGGACGGTGTAAGCTAAAATTATCTAATTATCTATTTCAGTTAATGTTGATGATTGCGTTGTTCCTTAATTTTCGAATTGGATCTGGCTTATTATTTTTTGCAGCCTGTAAGAGCAATACTATAAAAGTAAACTTGAACTTTCGATTATGTCAAATAGAATTTTTGATTCTGGAGCTCCCAAAGGATCGTACAAAACGAAAGTATGTTTCGATGTCCATCAAACAAAAAGTGGAATTGCTGCAAAAAAATGGTTAAAGACATGAAGAATGTGACAGAGAGGTTAGTGAAAACGAAAAAATTTCGATTGACAAGTTAGTCGGTATTCTCGGCACAGCAATTAACGGGACTTGAACAGCGGAACTTTGTAAGTGAACAAAAAATTATGTCTGTTTATAGAATTAAAGAGAAAGTATTATCACATAAAACGAAGCAACTTAAACAACTTACATTGAAAGAAATGTTTAATAAAGTAAACAAATAAATATTAAGCTTTTTTTTTTTTTTTTTTTGTAAATTTTGATACCCTTTAGATCATAATTGTTCTTTATTTCATAAATTACAGTTTCATATTTTTAATTTTGGAATTTCTGCATGCCATCTTACGCGATTTAAACTGATGATCTATAACCCGGAAAAATCGATAATTCGGAAGCTCCGAAGTCCCGATTAACGACTTTTGACTGTATATGAAATTACCTAATAACAAAAAAGTATATACTCTTTCCAAATATGAACATTTCCACGTATAAAATAAATAAAATATCCAAAAACTTTTACTTCTAAATTATCTATTATATTATAAACGTCACCAACGAATTCATACCGCAAACATTACAAATACTTAGTGTCAAATATTTAAATTATTTCCATGCACGTTTACTTCAACTAAAATGTATACCAAATTCCTACAAACATAAAATTCACAAAATAACTATCATTTAATTAAAATATAATTAAATTGAAAAACACTACTTAAAATATAAATAAGCACATACATTAAATTAATAAAAATTAGTTTACAATCCTAATTACTTTAAACTAAATCATTGCTAATAACAATTTTCCCAATAATACCAAATT